TTTCATTTTTTTCAAAGGCACACATGCGAAAAAAAATGTTCGGAAGATGGCGATATTTCGATGATTTAGTATCGATAGTATATAATCGTTTTGACATCTTCGTTGGAGGGCAAGCGGTACAACTTCATGACTTTCGGCTTGAAATATTAACTGAACGATGTTAAAAAAGTTTGTTGATTAAAAAGGGCAGGGGAAAATATTGTACATTGTAAGAAAAGTAAAATGATAAAGATTGACGAGTTAAAAGTTTCGCAACCCATTTATAGTTACTGCCGTAAACAGAATTCGTAGCACACCGCCCTTACTTCATTTTTAAATACTTTCAACACGTTGAGTAAGAATTTACTAGTAAGTGTTAGTTCCTAAAGTTCTCTTTTTTTTCTTTGATGTAGTAAAGTGCTAATTGTAAAAGTGTTTTCTTACTGTCGTAAGTAGAATTCATCTCACCCCACCCATATCTTATTTTTAAACACTTTCTCAAAAGTTAGAATAAAATCCCGTGATTATGAAGAACACGTCGCATACGAATTTATTTGTAAGTGTTTGTTAAGTCTCAAAAATTTTAATGCTGTAAAGTGTTAAATTGCAAAAGTGTTCTCTTTATGTCGTAAATAGAATTCAACTCACAGCTATCATGCTTAGTAAGTCGCTGACTTTCGTAAAACTACAAATAAAATTCCATTTATATGACGATCATGTTGAATTTAAATTTAATTGCACATATGTGACAAGTTTCAATGTATTCTTTACCATCATGAAAGTGTTTTTTATTTTTTTAATGGCGGAAATAGAATTCATCGCACACCAATCATACTTTGCTTTTAAAAGCTTTCTCAAAAATTCAAATAAAATCTCGCCAATATGAAGATCGTGTCGAACATGAGTTAATTGTAAAAATGTGACAAATTAAAGATATTTTTTAAAATAAAATCCCGTTTTCTGAAACGTTAATTAAGTTTAAAAAAATAAGAAGAGAAAACTGATATCTGAGTACAGTTAAAGTTTTAATTAAAATTTTAAGCTTGGTCATAATTTTTTTTTTTAATAAATATCACTTTTAATTCTAACTGTAACTTTCAAAGAGCATTTTTTTCAAATGAAGAACATTAAACTAATTAGCATAAAGGGTTCATTTTAAATTCTTTGTAAGGTTCAAATAACTTGTTAGGAATTTGTCGTATGATAACTAATTGAACGAATTAATTTTAATGAGGCCTTAACAATAAAAAAATTCAATAATAACTTCGCATCATGCTCGCTATATTTATTTTTAAAAACGTACCTTTCTGGTTAATAACTACATAATGTGTTTCCAAAAAAATGCTCACAAAATTAACGAACTTTTAGTTCTGATTATAAAATGTTTTATAACAATAGCATCTTGCACTTCTTTTAGCTTTGAAAACTTTCATTAAAAATACATTTGCAGGCGAAACAAAGCAAAAAGATGTAATAAAATACTAAAATTGAAAATAAGAAAACGATTTCTAAAAATTCTCCAGCTTATAGAATTGTTCTCTCCAAACATTGCATATTTTCAAGCCTTTAAATTCTTTTTTTAATAAAATAAGATTCAAGACACTTATTGAATGCTAAATATATTAGATAAAAGTCTCTTTGGCCTGCCTTTTTCATTTCATAAGTAAAATTTAAATTTTACAAACTGAAAAAAGAAAAACTTTACAGAAAAAGCAGCCATTAATAAAATCGTTTGCTTTAAGAACTTCGATTTCCCTCCAGCTGTAAAGTTTTATTTTTGGTTAAAACAAAGCATAATCATCACGCTTAAAGTTGCAAATTACTCTACAAGTTAAATTCAGTTAATTTTGTAGTTTCTTTATAGAATATATATAAATCATAATTACTGCAACAGACGCGATAAAACAAAGAATGTAAGTTTATTAAAAATAAACTTACATTCTTTCAGAGTTCCAAATAAGCCTTGTATGTTTGGAACTTAATCATATATAAATATTTTTCTGATTTTGAAAATCTAATGAACTAAATGATTCGTTTAAAATCCTACGGGCAAAACTAAATTCCAATACTTAAAATTCATAGTAAGTCTCAGCTCATTCCATAATGATTAATGAAATAATCATAAGAGCTTGTTTATCAAAAACACGTGATAAATATCTTTATTGTTCTGTGTTCATCACTTATAAAATCATTCTGAATTTACCTTAAGCAACGTAACACACCCTCAAATCGAGCTTTAGTAAGTACTTCGCGATTAACTAGCGTAAAGAAATAGATCCGTGTTTATGTAGCCAACCGCACGAATTAAGCCACCCGCCTATCTTTAAACAATCGTCCGGTTTTTAAGCGCAGCTTTTCATTATATAGGAGTCTTTTTACACTACCTGCCTATAATTTTGGGCAATTTAGGCACATTTTTCCGCTGGTAATAAGTCAACTTACCCTCCATTATAACCCCTACATAAATCTTGAGATCATACCGGTCTGATCAATTCGGACCATTTAAAAAAATATTAAAATAAAACAGCCACGGAGAATATGATACGCTGTACCTTTTTAAAAATAACTAGAAAAAAAAAGTAGGGTTTAGCAGTTAACTTCGGGGTTGGCGAGAAAAATGAAGCATTAAAAAAAAAAAAATAATCCCGCCAGACCGGTCGGGTTTAACATTTTGTCGAAGATGATGTTTCTTTGTTTAATGTGGTTCGTGTTAACTTGCACGTTTTGACTACGACTTATACGAAGTTACATAGTGAGTGTAAAAAATAAATAAAAATTTACAGAGTAAAAAGTATTAATGAGAATTTTGAGTCGAGATAAAGCGGCAAATTTATTTTACGAACTGAAGTCTATTTACCACTTGAAATGTATTATTTACATGTGAAATTAATTAATCATCCCTCACGTCAAGACGCATATTTTCCTATTAAGATAAACGTAATGTCTCAAAAATTTGATGAGTCATCGAAAAAAAATTAGGTGTGACAGTTCAAATTGCCAATATAAATTACAGATTCAAAATAATGCTAGTTTAATAACATATAATGACGTTAATTTATGTAATATATTAAAAAATGGTATAATGATTTGGGGGGTATTTTTGCAAATAATTTCGTGCATGGAAATATCATTAATTTATCTTGAACGTAAACTTTTGAAACTTTCACAAATAAAATAGTTAAATAACAATTTATTTCATTGTTATTTTACCATATTCAACTAAAACAGTTAAATAACCATAAAAAAATGGTATTCAAACTGTTAAAAAAATTATTGACTGTTTTCACTTAATACAGTTAAACAATCAGAATTTTATTCACGCCAACTAGGCCTAATTAATGAAGTCAATTAGTTCCTTGTAGCTGGGTGCACACTATGCCGGGAGGTCTATATCTGTCAATCTCATGACCGACTAAACGGGGATTAACACTACAATATTTCTTCTATTTCTGTAAATAGTTTTAAATGGTTACGAAACCGCGTAGTTTTGTATTTACGGATTTTGTACCATACCAGTTGTAAACGATTTCAAAACCGTAAAAGTAAATAAATGTTCCTAACCGTAAACTAATTATTACATGAATGGGGCAGTGCTTATAGTGCCGATTGACAACATTTATAATATTTTTGATAATTTATTCCATCTCAGGGAGAACTGCATACGAAAAAAAAAATATATATATCTTTATACACTATATTTTATTAAATTTCAATAAGTATATAAATATATAAATAGTGTTAATTCTTAATATATTCTTGTAAGTTCACATCAATATTTTTTTCTCCATCAAATATTTAAAAAAAAAAAAAAAAAAAAAAAATTAAAAAAATTTTTAAAGGGTTTTTAAAATTTCTGAATTAATTTTTCGACGCCTAGAAATTTATTGAACATTACAAATGACTACAGTTTAGAAGGAAAAAAACTAAAATCTTGTATTTTGCTATATTATTTATTCTTTTGAAACTAATATAAAATTTTTAATAACTCATTTGTAAGAATTTTGTTTTCCTTCCTTAAAGTTTTTGCTATATTTTCGCATACCTATACGGAAATTAAATTACAGTCATAATATTGTATTACTTAATGTATAACATATTGTAGAACTTAATGAATTTTAATAATACTGTCATTAAATAATACAATATTTTATTTCTTGCTAGATTATTAAATGATATTAGAGACTAAAGGATTTAAGTTTATGATAATCGAAGAATATTAATTTCATAAAGCACCTTTTTTTCTGATTCTCGGATTTTGATATAAATTTAAAAAATTTTATATATCTTTTCTACTATAAATTTATTTTGAAAACAAACAAATAAAAAGAGTTTTACAATAATTTCTAATGAAGGAATCAAAAATTTAATAAAAAGAAAACCTTCCTTAGTACATTTTACACGCTATATGCAACAAAAACCTAATTATGGTACATACTTGTTACAATTTACTATACAGTCATAATAAAAGGAAATATTGTTGTAAATGCTAACGATAAAGTAATTTTGAGTTCTATAAATGTTAACAATCTTAACTCGAAAGTGTACGTTACAACATTTGATATTCTAATATTGAATTAAATAGTAATGAAATGCTCAAAACTCTAAAATTATTATCTATCGACAGCATATAAAATTAAGTGAATTTTAACATAATCGACTGTAAATATTTTAAAGGTTGTTAAGTCAGAAGTTTTCGATTGAATCATCCAAACTCAATTTCAAACTTTACAAAGTTAAATTTATCTTAAATTGAAATCAAAAATCTGCTTTGATCTTATAACAGCCCTATAAATTAGCATTGCAGTACATAACCGAATAAAAATATGAACAAGTATTAAGTGAATTTAAATTTAACATTGCATTAAAGCTATACAATAATCACCAAAGAAACCAAATTTATTCAATTAGTTAGCAAGTGCAGAAAATTAGCTGAAAGCGTAAAAGTAAAAAGCGAGAATAATACCCTCAACCTTATAAACAAAACACACACCCCAAATTTCAAGTCAAAGAAAAATATATACATTTATACGTACTAAGTAATAGGCACCGAAGTGGGATCCTATTTTTGGTTCGTCGTATCCCCTATTGATGTAATCATTCATTGTCAGAACCTGGCAACTGGTATGGAGCCAGAACCTGAGGGAATTATCGATAATTATCAATGGATATCATGCATTTTCTTTTTTTTTTTTATTATTACTTCTAAGATATCTATCTAGAATAAAGTTCAAGTAATTAAATTTTTAAAACGAATCCAATTTTGTTAAGAATTCCGATTCGCTGAATTTTGAAAGAATAAGTAATGGAAAAAGAAAAGTCTTTGAAATTAAATTGTACTGTAAATTATATTGATTTTAACTCGGTTTAGAGAAATAAGTTTTATCTAATAAAACACATTTTTACGAGAAGTAGTGAAAGTTAATAACTATTTGAATTCAAATCATTAAATTTTACAACGGAAAGTAAATAATTAGATTGCAAAACAGGCTTTTGTAGTATTTGATATTTTGGTGAAAAATACTTGATATTTATTGTAAGCTATATTATGGGGAAAAAGAAAAGTTTATTGAAGTTTCTTGGAAAATATATAAGTACGAATAAAATTTTACACAAGGAAAAAAAATTTAAATGTACTTATTGTTTAATAATTTAAATTTTTTTCACGGTTTTATTTCAAACCTGTTAATAATTCTATTATTAATCATTTCTTTCATTTATTATATGCTTGACAATTATATTTAATTATAATTCTATAACTTCTGTAAATTAACGGCATTGCGGAATCTTAATAAAAAACATTGCAACTAACAGTTACTTTTTCTCCCTTTTTAAATATAAATAAATGATTCAGTAACACATGGTTTTGGTTAAATAAGGTTCGTTGCTGAATCTGACGTCACGAGAATTATTTTCATTGTATATTATCATTTGAGTTTTAGAAAATATTAATATTATCGTTTTTAAATTTTAACACGCATTTGTAGAGAACACATTTTTATCATTCGTTATCATTAGAATTATATGATATTTATACTATATAAAAAATTATTTAAAACATAAGTTATTTTTCATTGCCCAACTATGCATTAACTATACGATTCCATTTTAAAAATCAAAATAAAATTCTTAGTAATAGAAAGCTAAAAGATAGTTTAAATATTTGTCAATCATTCAAAAGTTGCATCTTTAAGGTCCCATATCACATATTCCATGCTTGAATTCCGTCCTCCTGTCTAATAAAATCAACAAAATAAACGCAAGTTTGTATAATAAAAAAATAATAAAAAATCACCAAGAATAAGACTCCACAGCGAATCATTTCCCCACTCATAATAGACTCAGTGGCGCGACATTGTATTAAGATAGCATCACGTGGTCTTGGTCTGATGATTTCTTGCAATAATCACTTCATTGCGGGCATCAAACAAAAGAATGAATCAAACATTTAAATAACCGATGACGTTTATGGTTTGTAAAGAAAGTTATTTTTTCCCGCAGTTTAGGACATCAAAATTCACCCCAATTTTATCGGCGCTGTATCGGCATTTTAACTGGACAGGAAAATTATACCTCTGACAAGCAATGTTTGATAAAGCTTATCTAATGTTCTTCATAATTGATAGGCATATATACCATCAAGTGATATTGTTACACAGTAACATATGTCCTATTGGTTTGTTCATGTTTAACATAAGTTGAGCAATCTTACATCAATAAATATTAAACGTATATAACTGAATTCATTATACATGAAGGCTTTAAATAAACGAATTTTTACAATTGCAACCTCGTTATTCTTCTTCTTGTATCACAGAAAAGTGATATTTTTACATAATATCTTTTGTCCTCATGGTTAAATTATGATAAGATATCATAGCAAGACATGTTACATTGTTTGATATACTGAGAATATAAATCTCCGGTTCAATGGGCGGACTATGTTCATTGTAAATTATGTTTTGTTACATGATAGCATTTGCTCCCATGGTTAGTTTATGTTAACAATTAATTCAATGCAAAATATGCTTTATGCATAATTTGCTATGGTGAAATTTATAAATTTGCTGGATCAATTGAGTATGTTTAAATCTAAACAAATCATACATTTACGGTAAAATATTCCTAATTAATGATTAGATAAAGAGCAATGTCGGTTAGTTTATGTTGAAAATCTCATAGTAAAATACGTTGGGTGTAATTTGTTCATCGTTTGTCTAGAATTCAACATCAAACGCTAATCTTCTTACAATGTTCAAACCTAAACCATGGAATTACGTTACAATATTCCTCATCAGTGATTGGGTAAAAATTAAGGTAGATGTCACATGGTTAGTTTATTAGTCCATATAAAAAAACGTGAAGTAATATGTTAAAAACACGTAAATTACAAGCAAAAACACCTCAAAATAAACTCTGCAATTCCTGAAAAAAATGCGGACCAATAAAATTCCATGTTTTTGTTACATTTAGTACAATTAACATAATTTAGTTAAATAATTTAACATAATTTTTCAAGCAACATAACTACCATTTTTTAAAATTTAATGAGGTCATGATTTGCTTTGTTTATTTTGTCCAGATTCATTAAATGATTAAGCTATTCGACTACACAACAAAATCACATTAGTCTTAAACATCTGTTGCTGTTAAATTATTTATGAATAAAACATTCAACGCACACGAGCATGAAATTAACAAATCAAATCAATAAAACGCATTTTCTTTCAAATGGTTAGTTCCTTAATACACTGAACCACTGCATTATAAACATTAATGTTTTACCATAAGAAACCCAAGTTTTCCTCATTTATAAACGGGGTGACTGTACTGCATTATTGCATATTTTTGTTCATAAGTTCATTCTTTACACGATGCCATCCGTAAAGAAATATCACTTTATAACTCATAAAAAAAAACCAACAAAAAATAAAACAATACATGTAATAATGTTTAGGTGCATAGTAACTCGCTACTATGCACTTCATAGCTTTTTCCTTTCGCTTTCTGAAACATTACGACAATATTCCTCACGTGATTTCTATAAATATATCCCGCAGGTTAAACGCCAGTGAAATCCATCTAAGGCAGCAATTCCAAAAATTAAAGACATTCCGTCTTTTTAGTACTTCACACCCTAGATCCTTCAATTAGGAAGACGATACCATCAGTAAAGAATTATCACTTGATAACTCAGAAAAACAATACATGCAATAATGTTTAGGTGCATAGTAACTCGCTACTATGCAATTCACTGCATTTGCCTTTCGCTTTCTGAAACATTACGACAATATTCCTTACGTGATTTCTATAAATACATCCCGCAGGTCAAACGCCAGGGAAATCCATCTAAGGTAGTAATTCCAAGAATGAAAGACATTCCCTCTTTTTAGTACTTCACACCCTAGATCCGGCAATTAAGAAGACGATACCATCAGTAAACAGAAGAGAGGTAAAAAGGATAACTGTACAATCGTGACTGCTCAGAAAGGATAATAAATCATTGAATAAAATGATGAAACAAAACAAAAAAATGGCTACAAGCAAAACCACTGACGGAATTGTGGGTAAAGAAGCTGCGAGTGATGCTCCAATGAAGGAAACAAGAATACAAATAAAGAGGGGAGGCGGATATGGATTTGGCGTGCGAAATTCGGTATCAACGCCCACAAACTGCCTTTTTCAACTCCCCCCTTTATTTATATTCTTCAAAAAACCGTGCCAGACCTCACTTGGACCTTAATATACCAAAACGAATCAATCCTGTGCTCGCAAAATAGTACTCGAAGCTGTTGCCATTTTTTTTAGAATTTGACTCGTAATGAATACATACTTTTTTTTCGAACAAATAAAATTGGTTTACACGCAAGCAACTGAAAAATAAAAATTTCTATTTGAATTCTACGATTTTATTATGGATTTTTTTTATTTTATTTAATATCATTCTATTCGAATAATAGTAACATTTTTGACATTTAAACATTTTTTATATAAATATTTAAAAATTCAAATGAAATACTTGAATAGAGCTTGGTTCTTTTGACTTTTTTATATTAAGCTCATTAAAATTAGCGATACATACTCAGACGTAAATTAGTGCCTTCAAATAAGCCTAAAAATGACAGAGGTAAATTCGTTTAAATATTACTGTAAATTTAATTTTTCTTCTTCATATTTTTATAATAAGCCTATCAAAATTAGAGATGTGTACAATGTAATTTGCTGCGAAGATCTTCGAAGCAAGTTAGTGCTTTGTAATCGGACTAAAAATTACTGAAATAATTGACATTTAATATTTCCTTAGGTACAATCTATTTACATACTTAGAGGTAAACTAGAGTCGCCTATATAGTCTAAATATGCTTGAGACACTTGTTATTAAACATTATTGTAAATGTAAATTTTTCCTCCAATAGGCCTATTTAAATTGTATCCATACCTGGATGAAAATTAACTTTTCGATCGGCCTAAAAATGACTGAGATAGTTACCGTAAACTATTTCCGTGCTTTCCGCATTGAGATACAATCTAATGCATATTTACTAACCGGAATGACTTTGGTTGAATTTAGATATAATCAAATATGATTACTATATCAAAATGATTGATCTGTCTCGAAATTTACATCAGCACCAAAAGATCTCATAACGATCACAGCAAACCAATGTTTGTTCTGTCAGCAAGGACATCCGAAACCATACCGTTCACGATCCCCCGACAAGACAAGCGTCAAGATCATGACTAAGATAAACAAGGATCCACGTGAGATGAACTAAAATGTAGAAATTTCAAGCCGGACTGCGACAGTTTTGACGGATCGGGGGTCAAAAATGTGTTTAGAATCATGTTTCGTCTACTTGTGTTATTAGTACGAAGGAGGATGTCTTTACTTGCTAAGAAAACTCTGTCAACACGTAAAGGCATTCTATAAGTGTTTTAATATTGATAAATCTTACCTAGCACTATAAAAGAAAGTTTTAAATTTCCTTATCTCATAAATTTTGAAATAAAATAAATTTATAAAAAATTTTAGAAAGTGACAAGAGTATAAGATTGTTATAAAAATAACGCAATAAAAACCTGATCCTTTGTTACAGTCTTGTATTTAAAAATAATCTACTTAGAAAATGAATAATTAT